CATAGAGAACACAAAGGGATTCCTATTGTCCTCCTGAGGAGTAAGCTTGTTTTAAATCGGACTTTATAGCATGTGCACCATGAATTGTGCAAGAGCAGACTCCATAGCTTTAGCATAGTGCTTGGGATCACATGTCCCAGCATGCTTTATTTGAACAGGTCTTATTGCATGCAGGCTATGTTTGTCCTACAGCAGATGTCATATTTGGTCTATTTTCTCATTAAAGTAAAGAAATGACAATAAATACAGAATTCTGCTTTGTGATCTGTGAATGGGAGTTTTCTTTTTAAGCCATTGTCACTCACCATTGCCCTGAAGGGTTATATTTCTATGCTAATTACTTGTCATTCACCATTGAATAATGTGTTGGTTTTGTAGTGTTGGTTTAGTTATATGTTGGTTTAGTTTTTTTTTTAGAATTTAAGTGAATTCATACATTGATATTTTGTTATATTTACTTTTTGCCTTTTCATCATCATAGTATTGTTGTCATTACCAATGAGACTACATTATTTGACTTTTGTAATTGTGAGATTCTGTCTTTGGGAATATTGTCAATGATCATCTGTCTGGAGGATGCTTTCTAGTGTTTTGAGAACTTGCAAGCTTTATATTTATTTTGCAATTTTTTTGTAGGTGAATGATATGAAATATGAGTTAGATGACCAAGAAATGAAAATGAAAAACTTGACAATTGAATATTCCACATTGTTGAAAGAAACTGAAATCACAGTAAGTATTTTAGTTGTGGTCCACAAGAAGAAAGACCTGTTTATCACTTTAAATATGTAACATTGTATACCTAAAAACAAGAGACAACTTCATATAGTGTTCCCGTTAAGCCATTTCATAAATACTGAATATTAAAGATGTACGCATTCAGAGATAATGCTAGCAGTTAGATATTTTTATGAAACAAATTAACTAAATGAGCAATTACATCATTGTATATGTGATCTGATTTACTATAACTATAGCATGGCATCCCTGCATAAATATCCCACACAACAAAATGGATAGAAAAGTGTATTTCTGTTCCTTAAAGGTGTGCAAGATTAACAAAAAGTTACTGCAGATGCTGTATTGTAAAAGTCACCATTCCTTAGAGGTGAAGGATGAGATGATAGCCAAAAGGTCAATGGGGATGGTAAACAAAGTCTGAAGTCAGGATACCAGAATGTAGCAAAGTTTAGAAATTTTTTTACAGATTGGTTAAACTTGATGAACTTGAGTCTCTTTCAACCTCGGTTACTATGTTACAAATAGCCAATCTCAATTACTATGTCACAAATAGCCAACATCCGTTACCATGTCACAAATAGTCAACCTCAGTTACTATGTCATAAATAGCCAACCTCAGCTACCATGTCACAAATAGCCAATCTCAATTACTATGTCACAAATATCCAACCTCAGTTACTATGTCACCAATTGCCAACCTCAGTTACTATGTCACAAATATCCAACCTCAGTTACCATGTCACAAATAGCCAATCTCAATTACTATGTCATAAATAGCCAACCTCAGTTACTATGTCACCAATTGCCAACCTTAGTTACTATGTCACAAATAGACAACCTCAGTTACTATGTCACAAATACCCAATCTCAATTACTATGTCACAAATAGCCAACCTCAGTTACAGTGTCACAAATTGCTAACCTCAGTTACCATGTCACAAATAGCCAACCTTGGTTACTATGTCACAAGTAGCCAACCTCATTTACCATGTTACAAATAGCCAACCTCAGTTACTATTACTATGTCACAAATAGACAACCTCAGTTACCATGTCACAAATATTCAACCTCAGTTACCATGTCACAAATAGACAACCTCCGTTACTATGTCACAAATAGCCAACCTCAGCTACCATGTCACAAATAGCCAATCTCAATTACTATGACACAAATAGCCAACCTCTGTTACTATGTCACAAATAGCCAACCTCAATTACCATGTCACAAATAGCCAACCTCAGTTACTATGTCACAAATAGCCAACCTCCATTACTATGTCACAAATAGGGACCTCCGTTACTATGTCACAAATAGCCAACCTCAGCTACCATGTCACAAATTGCCAATCTCAATTACTATGTCACAAATAGCCAATCTCAATTACTATTTCACAAATAGCCAACCTCCGTTACTATGTCACAAATAGACAACCTCAGTTACCATGTCACAAATAGCCAATCTGACTTACTATGTCACAAATAGCCAAACTCCGTTACCATGTCACAAATAGCCAAACTCCGTTACCATTTCACAAATAGACAACCTTCGTTACTATGTCACAAATAGCCAACCTCAGCTACTATTTCACAAATAGCCAACCTCCGTTACTATTTCACAAATAGCCAACCTTAGTTACTATGTCACAAATAGCCAACCTCAGTTACCATGTCACAAATAGACAACCTCCGTTACTATGTCACAAATAGCCAACCTCAGCTACCATGTCACAAATAGACAATCTCAATTACTATTTCACAAATAGCCAACCTCAGTTACTACGTCACAAATAGCCAACCTCAATTACCATGTCACAAATAGCCAACCTCAGTTACTATGTCACAAATAGCCAACCTCAGTTACCATTTCACAAATAGCCAACCTCAGTTACCATGTCACAAATAGACAACCTCTGTTACTATGTCACAAATAGCCAACCTCAGCTACCGTGTCACAAATAGCCAATCTCAATTACTATTTCACAAATAGCCAATCTCAATTACTATTTCACAAATAGCCAACCTCCGTTACTCTGTCACAAATAGCCAACCTCCGTTACTATGTCACAAATAGATAACCTCAGTTACCATGTCACAAATAGCGAATCTCACTTACTATGTCACAAATAGCCAAACTCCGTTACCATGTCACAAATAGCCAAACTCTGTTACCATGTCACAAATAGACAACCTCCGTTACTATGTCACAAATAGCCAACCTCAGCTACCATGTCACAAATAGCCAATCTCAATTACTATTTCACAAATAGCCAACCTCAGCTACCATGTCACAAATAGCCAACCTTAGTTACCATGTCACAAATAGACAACCTCAGTTACCATGTCACAAATAGCCAACCTCAGTTACCATGTCACAAATAGCCAACCTCAGTTACTATGCCACCAATTGCCAACCTCAGTTACTATGACACAAATAGCCAACCTCTGTTACCATGTCACAAATAGCCAACCTCTGTTACCATTTCACAAATAGCAAATCTCAATTACCATGTCACAAATAGCAAATCTCAATTACTATGCCACAAATAGCCAACCTCCCTTACTATGTCACAAATAGCCAACCTCTGTTACTATGTCACAAAAAGCTAACCTCAGCTACCATGTCACAAATAGCCAACCTCAGTTACCATGTCACAAATAGCCAACCTCATTTACCATGTCACAAATAGCCAACCTCCGTTATTCTGTCACAAATAGCCAACCTCCGTTACTATGTCACAAGTGGCTAACCTCAGTTACTATGTCACAAGTGGCTAACCTCAGTTACTATGTCACAAAAGGCTAACCTCAGTTACCATGTCACAAATAGTCAACCTCATTTACCATGTCACAAATAGCTAACCTCAGTTACCATGTCACAAATAGCCAACCTCAGTTACCATGTCACAAATAGCCAACCTCATTTACCATGTCACAAATAGCCAACCTACGTTATTCTGTCACAAATAGCCAACCTCCGTTACTATGTCACAAGTGGCTAACCTCAGTTACTATGTCACAAGTGGCTAACCTCAGTTACTATGTCACAAAAGGCTAACCTCAGTTACCATGTCACAAATAGTCAACCTCATTTACCATGTCACAAATGGCTAACCTCAGTTACCATGTCACAAATAGCCAACCTCAGTTACCATGTCACAAAGAGATAGTCTCAATTACTAGGTCACAAATAGCCGTAGGTTATCCCTGCAAATTAACTAAGAGAAGCCAGAATCACATCACAAACAGGTGATCTATGATTGGGCATGTTGCCTCATATAAGGTTTGTCATGAAATAATTATAGTGTCAATTATTAATTATGGTGTCATAATTATTTCATTAATTTATTATGCTGTCAATCCACAATGACTCTCCTGAACTGATGAATACATTAATTGGATCAATATAAAATATATGTCATGTGTATTTCAGTGTACTTACCATGTTGAATGAGTTGGTTATCTAAATTAGGTGACAATGTGTGAACTTTACGAATTTGTTCTCTTTCCTTGAACAGAAATATGATTTTGAGTCTCAGTTATCACATCTGGAAAATCACTTTCATAACAAGCTTCATGAGTTAAGAGATCTAGAATACAACAACAAGAGCATGTCATTGGAAAATGAGGACCATATAGCAAAAATATCAAAGTGGTAGGTAGAAAGTGTTGTGACAGCCAATTGAAAAAGTCATCTCTTGATGACATCACATTTTTTCTAAACCCCTAAAAATATTTTTACTGAAAAATTTGCAAATGTATAAAACATGAAATTGTATGTGTGGCAATATGTTTTTAATTAAAACCCCCAAAAACTAGCAATCCAAATAGTGCAAGAAAAAGGGGTACAGGAGGAGACATTTTGGTGAAAACCAAATATGATTTAGTCAGCAGACAACTATTACCGAAGTTATTGAAATCAGAGTTCAGACAGTATAAAGCAAAATGTTTAATCTAAATCATAGATGGTGAGAGCTCCCTCATAAACTGGAGTAGGATAGTGGACTGGCAACCCATTGTCCTTTTCATGTAACTTAAAGGCATTATTATCATTGTGTTATTGCAAGCACAATGACCACTTTAGTGATCTGAAGTGGTAATGATGCCTGGAGTTTGTATGAACAGGATTTCACTATGAAAAGCTGCACCTGCAGAGCTTAACCCCCCCTGTTGAGGAGTAGAGATGTCGCGAACCGTTCGTGAACATCCCGCGAACGGCTCGCCACAGTTAACCACAAACCGTTCGCGGCGAGCTCTGGTAAGCTTACACATCCCGGCCAATCTCCAGCAGACCCTCCCTCCCAGACCCTCCCACCTCCTGGACAGCATCCATGTTGAAGGCAGCTTCAACATGGATGCTGTCCAGGAGGTGGGAGGGTCTGGGAGGGAGGGTCTGCTGGAGATTGGCCGGGATGTGTCAGCTGACCGGAGCTCGCCGTGAACGGTTCGTGGCGAACCGCGGCGAGCCGTTCGCGGGAAGTTCGCGAACGGTTCGCGACATCTCTATTGAGGAGGTATAACATAATTTGGTCATCATTAGTCAGCCCGGAACAAGTGTTCCAGATGGCTAATGCAATTTGTGTGCATATGGACACAAATCATGTTGATGACAGGTGCCCATGAGCCTGCCCTCCCTGACATCCATCCTCCTCCAGTTGGAGGAGGGACATCGTCAGAAAAGGATCAGGTTGCCTTGGCACTGGAACAGAGGTAAGTTTTATGAAAACCCTGTTTTATGGAAGAGGGTCACTTCTCTGCCCAAATTCAAATAAATAGATACATATGCAGCTCATTGAGGAGTCTCTGTAAGGCAGGTGCTCTGGGCAATTGCCTGCCTCTTGAGTTTAGGTCCACTGAACTAAACAACCAGGAAGAAACAGGAATAGTTGGGGGGCAAGGGGGGTAGTAACAAGTTTAACTGATAAAAGTACCGATTTCTCTTGAAATGTGCACTTTTTCTAAAATAACTTAGAGGACACAATCTTCACACATAATGTGCTTAACAAGTGCTTGTTTAGCACTTTAGCTTGTTAAGTACAGTGGAGTGTTTCTTTAACGTAACACATACTTCCAACTTCTGAATCCCATGTTTTCAATTAGTCCTTTTTGTTGTGAAATGATTAGAACTATGCATACAATAGTTCATTGTTCAATATTTGAGTCTTGTTCAAGCAGCCTATGTATGGTTTTAGGTTTTTAATTGTATTGGTGTATTTTTCCTATGCAAAAAAATGATCTGATCAAAACGGAATTGAGAAAATTACTGTGTGTAGTACACATTTACTGGCAATATCCATGTAGAGAGGTAATAAAGAGTATAACCATTCTGGTATCTCTATATATTTGAACAACGGCATGTTCACGTTGGGGTTGAAGATTTCAGTACGATTTGCCAGTTCGCTGGGCAGAGATCAGAACACACTGTTCCAGTGATGTTCTCTACTATTTGTTTTCAATTTAAAGAATTTCTCACCCTTAGCAACCACTGTAATGGGGGCAGTCACGTTTGATATTTTTTGTGTTTCTACACATTTTTAGAAGGGGATATTTCTGATGAAGGATATATTTCTGATGTGTTTGAGGGATTTAGCATAACTTACAGAGTAGGACACTTAGGGTTTGTAATGCACACTATTAATAATAAGGATATTAAAAATTTACTCAGTCTTAGCAGGTCATTGAGACAGTCACAGGGAGTTTCTGTATTTTACAAGCCCATACTAACATAATGTAGAGTTGCTAGTTACTGTCAGACTACGTAGGTGACATACGTGAAGCTTAGAAAAGGACTATTGGTACACCGAACATTAATGACTATATATTATATTGTTCTGGCCTTGCTAGTTCTTTTAGCTTTCTGCAATTAAATCTTATTTTTACACTTTAAAGCAAACACAACATAAACATGTTTATGGTAAATATTCTGCTTTATTAACCCTCTAAGGACAAATGTATTTGTCCAAGTTCTAAACCAAAATAAAACTTGGAATTTGAGCAAAATGTCTGTTCAACCATACCTTTTCCTATTTCCTATTTCATATTAAGTGCATCCACACTTAATATATATTATTTTGTTCAGGAGAAATAGGGCTTCCATGTTACATCAAATATTTATGAAACATAATTTAATATGAATAAAATCGGAAAAGTGCGAGAAATTAGGAAATGCTGTTAGTTTCCAAGTTCTGCTGGGCATGTTAACTGTGAATGTCATAATACTGTTAGCTTTTACTGCATTAAAATACATGTTTGTATGCTGTGATGTCCCATGAGTACAACAATGTCCCTGATGTACATGTTTTGTGTTGTCTTGGAAAGTTACAGGGTCAAGTATAGGGATTGCACACTTCAGTTTTTACACATTGAAATGTGTTAGATTGGTTTGCTGGACCTATGTTACCTTTAAGACCTTATGGCAGCACAGGAATGAGAATTAACCCAATTATGGCATAATCTATAATAGTGTGCTGTTTTAGGGGATTTTTAATTTGTTTGTCTAATACCTACTACCACACCCATTCCCATTTCCACCAACAGAAACCCCTACACCCAACCCAAAAAAGTTAAATACAATTGCTGATAGCAAAATAAACAACTACAAATGGCAGCGAAAGGGTTATTTAAAAAAAAATGTTTTAATAGAAATAACAAAAAAAATGTCTGCTTTATCGGAGAACTTTCTGATCACTTGGATCTATAGTACAGTGATAAGACATCAGGGAAGGTGTTAAAAAAATAAAAGTGCTGTAGCTGAGAAGAAGGGTAAAAAAAAAGAAAATGTATTTACCCTAAAAAACAAATATTCATAGTGGCAAGGTGCTAATCAACTTAAGCAGGCTGACCACAGGGTTAAAATTAGATTTTGTAATTTTTGAAAGTTTTTTTTTTTTAATTGAACGTTTTTTTCATCGTAACTCTGTCTCTCACGTCAGATCAGAGGCTGAGACATTGTACCTGAGATCACGTGTCTCAGACTGACAGACGTTGGATGCAAAGGGACTGCCTGGATTGTCAGGCAGATTCCCTGCTCACAATCGGGGTGCATGGTAAAGGACAGTGACATTGCAATGATGCAAGTGAACTACTAAACAGTAATTAATCAATGAAACTGTTATATAAAATGTTAACAGAATACAGACTGATATCAATGTGTGCAGAATAGTAAAAAAAAACTATTTCATTGGTTTTAATAAAAAATCCAATACAAAATTATTTTATTATACATGACAAGCTAACAGTTAATAATAGACAGTTATTGTCTGTAATATCTACAATTGAACTAACCATGAAGATACCAGCTTTCAGTCAAGCAGTTTGTATGGTGAGAATTTCTAAAAAAGTGACAATATGATTATTCCACCAAGTAATAAAAAGGAAGTTAAACATATATATTACAGGGAGTTAAAGGGACACTATAGGCACCAAAACAGCTCTACATTACTGAAGTAGTTTTGGTGTATAGATCATGTCTTGCTTCTCAATGCTTTGCCATATAGGAGTTTAATCACTCTGTTTAAAGCAGTTTTGGTGTATAGATCATGTCCCTGCAGTCTCAGTTCACAATTCATTGCCATATAGGAGTATAATCACTTTGTTTATACAGCCCTATTCACTGCTCCCTGCATGTGGCTTGCATAGCCTTCCTAAACACTGCCTGAAGAAGAGTCATCTAATGTTTATACTTCTGTTACTGCACAGTTTGTTTAATTTAGAATTTCTCATCTTCTTCCCTGTTAATTGCCCTTTGACCATGCATGTGCCTCCTGTGTGTGATTGAAGTTTAATTTACAGATCAGGAAATAAATGCTTCTAATGCAAATTAACAGTTGATTTAAAATAAAATCATTTTTTTTAATGCAGACTGTATAAGTTACAGCCAGGGAATGTGTAGCTAGGCCTACATGGCCAGGACCAAAAGTGATTTAACTGCTAAATGATATGGAATTGAGCATGGAGACTACAGGGTTTTGATCTGCACTAAAACTGCCTCATTATGTGTAAGTTTTGATATCTATGGAATCCCTTTAAAGGGTTAATATATGAAATAAATTCTGGCTGATGAAAAATTATGGGATCTACATGGGAGCTAAGACTAGAACTCCAAGAATAGACAGACCTACTGTAGAGCAGCACGTGTGCCTTTGCACAGCACTAAAGGCTGCCAGAGCCAAGCATGCTCTAGCCTATCAGGAGTCCCAGTGGGACTTCAGATATTTGTGGTGATTGCAGTTGGTGAGGGAAAATACTCATATTACTCATTGTAGCACAGATCGCTTTCTCCCTGCACTTGTGAATGGGATTCTGCATTAGAGTAGAGCAGCCTGCAGCAGCTATCACAGCTCCTGCCCTTGACCTGTACCTGGCCAGCCCAGTCCCCACAGGACCACAGGGAAGCCACCCATAATTTTAGATATACACTCATTGAAATAATAGAAACAGCCCACACACAAACACACACAGTCACATCAAACACAACATCACTGACAAGCCACATACATGCACAAAACCCCACAAGCAGCCTCTCATGTGCAATACCTATACATATACAAACCACCAAACACACAATATGACATCATCCAGACACACAATTCCACAAGCAGCCCCTACACAAAGCTCACATTCATAAGTATCATATAAAATACCAACACAACTCCTCCTGAGCATATACAATATCAAAGCCCACATAAACACAAATACACAAGCACAATATGGCAACATACACAACTCAATAAAAACAATTAGGACCAGCTCACAAAGGGACTTCAAAATCTTGTTTTGGCACAGTACTACTAAAAGGTTGCCTACCCCTTATCTAGAACAAAAATTAAACCTGTTCTCTTATTTTTAAAAAACAGCTCCAAGGCAAAAGTGAAGCATGTGGCAGATATTCATCGTATGCAAAAGAACATCATAGAAAATGAAGCTGAAACTCTTAAAGTGACTAAAGAACTACCACAAATGTATAGTAAGCATGCAGCAACCAAAACAAAACTAGATGAGTTGAAAGAACAGTCGAGGAAGGAGGAGTCACTGATGAAGGTATTGAGAATTTGTTGGAATTTGTTACCTTTAATTGAAGGTTCATTTAAGGAAAATGTTGGTTTACTAAACTTGGTGCAAGTTTACATATTATATCAATAGCATGATTTATTTATTTATTACTGTTATTTATAAAGCGCCAGTAGATCCACAGCACTGTAGAATTAGTGGAGAACGTACAATATACACAGACAAATACAAGAGGTTTAGAGAGCCCTGCCCGTAAGCTGATAACTAGCCATTGGAGCTTCTTTATACAAAGTGCTTAGTTGGATAGCCCATGAGTTTACAATCTAAAGGATACAATGAGGATTTGAGACAAGAGGTAGCAGGGGACATTTGGAGGTGATGGCTAAAAGAGTTAGCAGAGAGAAGCAGCTATT